CAAATAGTTTTTTATCTTTCAATAACTTGTGCACTTATAATTTAAAAATAAACTCATCTAATTCCCTCCTGTCTTTTCTTCAGGCCTGCTTGGGAAAAAGAAGGAAAAAAAAAAAAAAAAAAAAGAGGAATTGGGTGCTAAATTTTCTTTTTGAGGTGGTAACAAATTGGGAAAAAAAAAGGAAAAAAAAAAAAAAAAAAGAGAGATTGGGTGCTAAACCTTCTACTTGACGTGGTAACAATGTTGGGAGCTGAAAACCAAGAGAACTGGCTGTGTCCAGAGGTGCCGCTATCTTTTCTGAACACTTAATGACTCAAACAACTCACTGATCTATTGAAACAGAAAAACCCAGACACTACAGTTCCTCTGGAGAGGAAACCTAGACGAAGTGACTGCGGTGCTGTATATATATTCATTGTAGCCTTGGACTCCAAAGCCATGCTATGAATAGCACCTTTCATCTGTAGATCTGGCAATAACTAATTACATCTCATTAATCCCTGCATGTATGGGGAGCGGGGAATTCACAGCTAGGGCTATGTCAGCCCTGAAATGCTGTCACCTCCAGGGTGGAGTTAACAGCAGCTTGCCCGGTGTGTATTCCCTTCAGCGATGCAAAATCCTTTGGGGGAAAGGTGTCAAATCTGCAAAGGACGCTCCCGAGGTTAAATAAGAGCTCGGTGCTGTGAGCACGGGCTGCCTGGTTTCGGTTTAACATCCCTTTTCTCCTGAGTTGATGAGATACTTTTCCCTCTAAATGCCAGTGTAAAAACCCAAGGTCGTGACATTCGGGATGCTGGGCTGAGCAGAGCAGAAGTTCCTCCAGGCCTGGATCCTTGCTCTGCTGTGGACCAGTAGCAGATGCCAGTGAAAGAGGAGGAGAACCGGTGAGTAGCCTCTCCACTAACGTATTCACGCAGCTTCCAGCAATGAAGACAGAAGTAAGCATCTGGATTACCATGTTCGATACCAAGACCTGTCCTGCATGAATTTGCCTAATCCCTTTTCTTAATCCATTTAGAGTTTGAGCCTTAATATCCAGTGGTGAGAAATTGCACAATTTAATTTTATGCTGGTGAAGGGGGAAAAATCCTATAGTTTGTCTCAAGCCTGTTGACCCATTTTATGAGCTTGGCCCTGGTCCTTGTTGGGAGAACAACTACTCCATGGTCACCGTCTCTATAGCAGGTGTAATTTTACAGTGGCCCTCTGTCCTTTCATGAGAAGCGTTAGTCCATCTGGCTGCCCATCGTCCCCACGGGCAGCTTCTGAAGCACGGCTCCGCCGGCCTCCGCAGACCTGGACGTCACTGCCTGCCGTGCCCTCCTGCTGCTCCCTTGACTGAGTCCTCTGAGGGCTTCAGAAGAGGAGATAATATAATTTTAGTAGCTTCTCTTCCTTGTTCTTGTGGCTTAAGTAGAAACATTAATGTCTAATTTAAAGGGTACATTTTACAAGGTGATTTATGGAAGCAATAAGCTTTTTTCCTTCTGTGTTTTTCATGAAAGAAGCTGGCAAGAGCTGAAATCCTTTACCTTGTTACTATAACAGCAAAATATTCACTCTCGGGCTCGGAGCTTCGCTTTAAATAGTCTCTCCTTTTTCTTTTTTTTTTTTTTTTTTTTTTTTTTTTTTAGGAAGACATTTAATATCCAATGAATAAAACAGCAGTTTCTCCCTAGTTGAAGTGAAGAATACCAGACCCAGAAAGAAAGCAAAGGAGGAACCCCTGGTCTCTTGTGCACCTCCATGGTGAGAGGACACACTCATGGGACCGGCCAGAGCAGCAGGCGAACCCTCTCAACCCATTCTGCCGGTAATGAGGTGGCATTAACCTTAGACCATTCTGTTTTTAGCTCCATGCTATCGTTTCTATCATCGAAAGCAGCCCTGTGCATGCAGTGGATGCAGGAAAGCAGCTGTCTGCAGGCGCTGCTATTTGGCAAACTCCAAAGTAGCCATGGGCTAGGAGAAGGGACGGGGTCTGTGGTGGCTCTGCAGGTTGGACGGCCTGGGGAGCGATGGATGAGAGCCAGACTTCAGCTTTGAGGATGAACACGGTGCTCTGCTGCGTTGGGCAGGGTGCTGGCTGCCCGTGTTGTGGTGGGGGAGCGATGGGATGGGCAGGTTCGGGGGAGCGCTCCCCACGGCACGCGTTCGTGCTACGAGCGAAGGATGGTGCAGCGCTGGGCAGGGACGAGCCCTGCCTGCCCTGGGAGCACCGTACGGGCCCTTTTGCTGAGCCTGGAACAGACACGCCAGCATCAGCGACGTCGGAGCGGACTCCAGGAGACAGCCTGAGAGCTGCTGGCTGAGCCTGCCTGTGCGCACAAGGGGAGCCTGTTTTCCTGCGTTTATGGCATGGCGTGATCAGCAGGACATGGGGGAGAGTATGCTCCAGGAGAGCCTGGATAGAAGGAGCCTTGTTGGTGCAGCCCATCGCTGCTCCTCTCCACGCAGCCAGGCTGCAGCGGCTGTTTCACTTGGACGGGAGCACTGAGACTGAGATTTGTTCAGCCCCGCTAGCTACACCTCTGCTGCTCCTTCATCAGCAGAGAGCCAGGGTGATGCTGGACAGAGGAAGACCAGCGTATCTCCAGCTACAGGGGTGCCTTTACCCTGTGTCACCTCTTCTTTCTTGCTCTGCCCCCATCTCTGCATGTGCAGAAACATGCAGAAACCTCCTCCCCTCTGCTCAGACTATGCTTGTACCTGGCTGTCTGGCAATGGGCAGCGCACCCCCCGAATGCTTGCACAGGAGTACTGCCATCTCTCCTGGTGCCAGCTGCCTGTCCCATCCAGGTGGGCAGCGGTACCCTCTGTGGGACACCTCTGCTTGCACCCTGATCCACAGAAAGGATACGGACATGGTGGAACCACTCGTGCAAATCAGTGAAAGCCTGATGGGGCAGAAAACCTAGAGGGTACCAGATGAAGTCAACCAAGTTTGCAGCCATGCACGCAGGGAGAAGGCGGCTGCCAGGTGAGCGATCAACAGCACCTACAGCTCTCAGCAAAGTGATTCTGCAAACTGCACCCTGAGGAACGAGCTGCATGGCGTGTACTCAGCCCTTGTAAAGACGTGCCCTGGCACCTACAGAACAGCAGACCCAAGAGCTGGGTCTCTCCTGGAGTGGTATGAAAATCCCCTCCTGACTTGGCAATAATTAGCAGTATTTGTCAGTGACTGTATCGACAGCTGGGCATCACTGGGCTCTGCACCCCAGCCTGGACACTGAAGAGCTTGCAAAGCATCTGTCCTCCCCTCTGAAATGTTTCAGCATCCACCTCTTAGGAATCCAGGAGCCCAGCTATCACCACCTAAAGCCTCACTTCTTAGGACTTGGCGACAAAAGCATTTCAATGATTTGCTTTTGGGAGAAAGGTCACAGATGTAAGAAAGACACTGGAAGCACAGACAGCCCAGGGCCAGCTTAGCCAGCATGGCAGGCGGTCTGTAAAAGCTGGTCCTCCTCTGGTCGCCTGCTGTCCTACAACCACAGGCGGCGAGGGGTGTTTTAGGACACCAAGCTCGTTCGGGAGTGCCAAGGCTGCGTGGTCCCACGTGCCGGCTCGCTGCTCCTCCGGGCAGGAGGCAGACAGGTCTCCCTTTGATTTCGGACCCTGGCCCTGGCCGCTGCGTGCTGTGCTTCTTGAACCGCTAACCCGAGTTTGTTTGATTTAGCGATATTAGAGCGTAGGGCGAAGGTAAGCCTGGCAGGGTCTGCTTGTGCCGATGGAGATATTGGCTAACTAGCTGCTGGCTGATGAATTGCTGCTATAGGTGATCTAATTAAAGACAGTGTTTAGTTTACTGCTGCTTTATTAGGCTTCAAATTGAAGCAGAATTGCCTTAGCTAATACAATTTACAATCACAATTTTAGCTAATGCGCCCTTAGACATATGGTGTGATTTTTGGGGTTGTCCTATGCAGGAACAGGAGTTGGACTCGATGATCCTTGTGGGTCCCTTCCAACTCAGGCATTCTATGATTCCATGAGTCCCTTCCCTTCCCTCACCCCCATCTTCTCCAGATTCTCTTTTGGTAGGTTTCCTCCCTCTTTTGTGTTTCTGAGATTTGGTCCTTTATGACAGCCAGTATTTTTCACTTCTACTTTAACTAATGGAAATATAATTGCACATGCATCTGATGGTAATGATGGATGTAATTAACCATCTCCACATCCCAGTTCCTCTGCCTGTTTGTTTGCTGAACACTATCTCTTTCAGGTCAGCTCTGGCCTGCAGAAAATATCTCAAATAATGGCGATGACTGGTAGTAGCTGAGGCAGGTACCAGTGCCTGGAGGTAGATTTTAAAGGCTGTAGCACCATACAGGCAAACGGCTTGGCACCGGAGGAGTGCCAGAGTCGTCAGTGCCAGCTCTTGCCAATTACAGCCTGTGCTTCTCCATCCAGCCTCTGTGGTGGCTGCTACCATGAGGAAGGGCTCAAGCTGCTCTGAGCCCACTTTTTAGCAAGTGTTGGATGCAGCCCACTCTGGGGAGAGGTGGAAAGCAGGGGAAGGGAAGAGGCTGGGAGCAAGCCACATGGCTTGCATCGGGGAATAGCACATCTTGAACCCTTCGTAGGAAAGTGACAGCATAAGGAAGTGCTTTGTCCATCTTATTGCTAATCAAACCACACTCATCCCACAGCCTGTGTGTGCCCGGAGCCTGCTGGGATCATCTACACAGAGCAAGCAGGCAGGACACTGTCCCCAGCCTGCTGGCAAGCAGACCTGCCACCGTCCCGGCTCTCTGGGCTGGAGGGAGCCGGTGAGAAGCCAGCAAAGCCAGGATCCGATTGCAGCAGGCTCCTCCTCCAGGGACTACAGAGAGGGAAGGAGAGGCGGGGAGCTGGAGCCAGCAGCTTCAGGCTGCCTACCTGCACCTTGCCAGCCGGGCTGGGGACCGGGCTGGGGACCAGCATCTTCGCCACCCGCATCCCATGGGGTGTGCGGGGCCGCCCCGGGAGCATCTCCCCGCCTCCAGCCCGGCATGGAGAGCCTGAGCAGCAGCCTGAAGAAGAAAGCCACAGAGCAGCACTACAGGGCAGAGGCGATGATTGCTGGAGAGCAACTGAGGTAGGAGGGGATGGGGCCCTTCCCCAGGCTGGGGCAGGGCTGTGCCCAGGGTTACCCCTGGGGCTCTGGACTGTACCCCATTAGCAGGAGGCTCAAAGCTTTATCCTTGAGCAAGTGCTTTTCCCCCAGCTGCTGGTGTCTCCCCCTCCCCAGTATCTGCTGATCCTTCCTTCGCCCACCAAACCAGTGGTGAACCAGATCCTTTCCCATATTACCTTCTCCTGCTGCTCCTCTCTGGGCATGTCCTGCCTTTATCTCCAGGTGCCAGGGGACTGGCAGGTGGGTTTAGATGCCAACAGATTTTTTTAATCCCTTTGCATCCTCCCCTAAACCCAGAGCCTGATGTGGTGACACCGAGCAGCCTCCCCAAGGTCCCTGGTCCCTGGCTGGATGGGGACAGCATCGCCTCCGGGGGCGTTCAGACTTTCGGGGGTGATTTGGGAGTTCGTCCCATGGGTGCCATGCACCTGAACTGTTTGGCACAGCAGCATTAGGGTCTTCCCTCTCTTGAAAGTCACTTTTGGGAACTTCTGCTGGTTTGTAGTCCCAGTTCTTGGGCAACTTCTCAGGTTTTTTTTCTTATGAAGACAGAAATACATTCTCCTATGCAAGAAAACCTGTGTCGCTGAGAAAATCCCCTTCCTTCTAAGCAGGCGACTGTAGGCTTTTCTAGCTCTTAAGATGAATTTGCTTGTTTGTATCTGGAGTCGTCCTGTTTTGCTTTGAAATGTGGGTGGAAAATAGGAAATATATCCTTGAATAATGTAAAGAGCCCAGAGCCCAAGTTTGCTAGCATCAGATTCCTAAAATTAGCTCTGTGTTGCTATGTTGTTCATTCTCAGTGAGTCACGTTAGCTTTAGCTTTATTATTTGTATTGTATCAAGGATTGATAACTTCCAACTAAGGATTACTGCCCTATCTTGAAAACACAGCCGATGTCCAAAGTGGCTGGATTATTAAATATGTGGTGATGGTTACCCACATTTCCAGTCTATTGTCCTTCACAAATATTACTGTCCTAGCTCCAGAAATTAAATCTTTTCCGTAGCTAGTGACTGGGAGAGCTGCCGTTGGGGGTGGAGGCTGCATCAACCTTTCTGCCTTTGCGGTGTTTGCAGTCCGTGTTGTAAGCAAGGCTTTGAAAACAAGCTTAACTCTCTTATAGGGAAAAGCAGCAGCTGATCTTGCCTCATTTCAATAACCCAGTGCAAGAGACATAAAGTTATGACTTCTTCCATCTTCTGGGCAGGGCGGGCTTATTCATATTTGTATTTCCAGTATTTTATTCCTCTGGAGTGACTGAGGTTTAAAATGAGTCCTGTAGCCTGGGCCAAAGGAGGAGGTCAGGTATTCAGAGAGAAAATAAAATAATCAAGATGTGTTAAACCTGATCAGTGTGGGTGCAAGGGGAACGATGTGGCTTCCTTGCACCTTTTGCGGGACAGGAGCGTGTCGGATCCCGGACCATCTGGCGGTTGTGACTGTAAGGAGGAGAAGGGGATTCAATAAATCTGGTTGTGAACAGAGCTCTTCTAGTATACTGCACGCTGTGCTAGTTCGTATAAGCAAGGTAAAGGCATAGTACAAATGTTACACTCTTCTGAAAATCAATAATGCCAACTCATTTTTTCCTCCCAACATTTGTCTGGAAACTTCACTCTTTATTGCCAGCATGAATGTACCCTGAGCCTTTAAAAAGGATGTTAAAAGCCTGAAGGGAGGCCAAGTTTGTGCAGGGAGGGAATATCTTTCCACTAGCGTGACTGGAATAAAGTTGAATAGAAAACCCAAAATATATGTACTTTTTAGGGCACCCATATTCCCCCCCGCCCCCCATAGCTGGAGTGCCTTGGAGTTTCCTGGTTAGGGAGCTCCCAAAATCTGACAGTTTTCAGACCAAGCCCATTGCAGCAGGTTGCAATCTTGAACTGCTTGCTCCTGTTCAGTTTGCTACCCCAGGGTGAACCTGATGCAGGTTATCTCTGCTGGAAGGGGTGACAGGAGGAGTACGAAGCACGTGTGAGTGGAGAGAAGAGGCGAGAGCTCTCCCCTCGCAGCCTGGCAGACGCTAAAACCGCGCTGCTGGGAGACACGTGCTGTTTTGCAAACACCGCAGCGCGGGGAGCAGACCCGATCCGCCTGTAGGCAGCCTTGGCTGCTTCACGCCCCTGACCTGCTCTTGAAAGGCTCAAGCTCTTTGTTGCATGGAGAAGAGCGGGTGGGTTTCACCCAGCAGGACTGCGCTCTTCTTCAGCTGTGTTCGTGAGTAACGGGTTTAAGTGCCAAGGAAGGACCCCGGAGTACTCAGCGCTCACAGTGATGGAGAGGTGGGTCCTTTTGGTGGTGGCTTGGCACACAGCAGTCACATCCTTCTGCTTTGGTCGGGGCAGGAGCCTGTTCCCAGTGCAGAAAGACTGGAAGGAGCTGCTGGCCAGCACAGGATGTAAAACCCGGGGAGGAGGGCAAAGAGATGGACACCAACCTGCAGCTGGTCCCCTCCTTCCCCTGCAGCTCGTCTGGCTGAAAGGAGAATTGAGTGATGCAGAGCAGAGCACCCTGAGCGCTCGAGTCTGTCTCTTGTATTTTGAGGATCTTACAGCCTGGCAAGTAAGGAGCTAGTGATATGAATCTTCCTGGGAACGGGATATCCAATAGGTAGCAATGGGGAAACTGAGGCAGAGAGGTTGGATGATGCCTCAGGCAACAGCAGATGGGGGGAAGCTGAATCTCTGCATTGTGCTCCCCTGCTTTCCCCCAGGTAAGGGATCAAGAAGTATCTAAAGGAGCCTCGTGGTCTGCCCTAACTCTGTAAACCTCGATTAGCAAATAATCATAGAATCATCGAATGGTTTGGGTTGGAATGGACCTTAAAGATCACCTTGTTCCAACCCCCTGCCATGGGCAGGGACACCTTCCACCAGCCCAGGCTGCTCAAAGCCCCATCCAACCTGGCCTTGAGCACTTCCAGGGATGGGGCATCCACAGCTTCTCTGGGCAACCAGATACAACGCTGTTGTATCTACATAAAATCTCAAACATTTGTTTTTCCCTGTTCTCCGCTTCCTGCCCTGCCTCCCCGCTATTGTATTTAACCAAATAAACCTTTGCTTCATCTTTACAGTTCTTTGGCTTCCCAGCAAGTTTGCAAATCCCTCTGAGTTTGGTTTGGCCGGAGGGCTGAGTCTGTTCAGTGTCAGGATGCGTTTCCCAGCCAGAAATAGCTGCACAAGCGAGGGGTGAGGGAATGCTTCGTGGGGATGGCCGGGAACAAAACAGATCCTAAAGGAATCGAGGGGAGAGTGGATTCTGTGCTTCAGGCTGTCTGCCAGGGTCCCTTCGCTTCCACGGGGACGCTGCTTTCTACTCCATCAAGGGGGAAGAGGAGTTTTGAGTCTTGAGTCTCTCCCCATCAAAAAGATGATGATAATTTACCCTGATATTTTGGTCTCGGATTTGACAGGGCTGCTATCTCAGACTTGTTCCTCACATCTCCCGCTGTCGGTCTTTTTGTTTCAGACATATAAACTTGCATAAAACTTACACTGGTTTAGCTGGGCATTGCATGTTCCTGGGTGGTATTCTCCGAGAGGCCCAATTAGTCACTTCTAATTGCAACAAATGGCTTATCTGCACAGAGATATTCTGGAACAGCTACAGTGCTTTGAATTCACACCCTGCTGTAATCTGAGTTTCTCAAGTATAGACAAGTCCTTGTGCACTCTCTTCTGGGTATTCCTCATGGTCAAATGAACCAGCTGTTCTCTAATAACTCTGTTAAGCTGTGTTAACCACTCTTAAATGTAAAATGTACTTGGTAAATTTATGTCTTGGACAAAAAAAGTGAGAGGAGAAGGAAGGTTTTCTCCTATGAAGAAGAAAACTGTGATTTCAGCCACTGTCCAAAATTTTCAAAGGCGCCGAGTGTTTTATTTGGATATTCAAACTTCAGATGATGTTAAATAAAGTGCTCATACCTTGATGCTCTGGAAATTGGGCTCACTTCAAGGTGTGTAGCTGAACATGCCAAAGTTGGTGTTCCTGGCCAAAATCTTGTGTCCACAGGAGGTTTGGTGGTTTTCTGTTGAACTCTGATCTTTTGAAGTGGGGATGTCTTCCTGGAGGAATCGTGGGACACTGCTTGATGTGGTGGTCACCAGGTGAACGCCTCTGGGCTCCGTTATTCAAAAGACCAGACTTCATGATCAGAATGACCTTAAAAAGCCTATCATTAAACTTTCAGCACTGCTGGAAGTGAGGACTGAGAAGTAGACTTGTGCTTGCCGGGATTTCTTTTTGAGATTTAAATCCTATTTTCCTATATGTACATTTAAATACAAGCAGGAAAATAAAACCTCTCTGTACCACTTTAGCCAGGCTGCCACAGGCATGCAAAGCTCTCCCCTCTCCCCTGGAATGTACTGGTGCTTTTGCAGACTGGGAGTGCAGCAAACTGGGTTTTGCTGAGCCTGTTTGCAGTGGTCGTTTTGCCTGCATGTGCCTCTCCAGCAGCTATTTTGCAGATATGCTGTTGTAGCTGTTGCTGCCTTTTACTGAGCACTTAGTTGTTTGCTTGTTTGGGTTGTTTTTTGTGGGATTTTTTTGTGTTTTTTCTTTGGTTTTGCTTGTTTTTTTTTTCTGTAAAGATAGGAACAGAAAAGATCCTTTGGATGATGCATCTTTCCAGGGCCATTCATTTGTTCTTAACTGCTGTGGGAATGCAAACCAGAGTTAACATCCTTGAAAGATCCACCTTGGCATTTGAGATGCTCAAGGTCTGTTTACATGGGTAGGAGGTGATGGAGAGCGCCGCAGGGAGACGTTCCCTCTTCATGCGGGCACGTGCGAGTTCTTGGTGCAGAGTATCTATCGCTTCAGGGATTGCTCTGGCTGTGCAACTACGACACAGTAAAAGCAGCACCTTTTCCAACACAAGAAAGCCCTTTGCTTGGGAGTAAGCCCCTGATTTAGAATCTCACTTCTGAAATTGTGTGAAATGTGAACACACAGAAGTAATCAAGAGAGGAGCTCCTGGGGTTGCTCTCCAGCAGTGGACATCCGTAACGCTGCTGGGAAAATGCTGGCCTGCCAGAGGAGCAGGGAACTTGTGTTTGTAACTGCTGAAGTGACTTAAACTCTTGATTCCCTAGAGGTTTGTATGTGTTTCTCTTTTCTTTCTCTTCTATTTACACTGCTGCGGATGTCCCTTTCAACAAGGTTACACAGGATGAATAATGATGTCTTTGTAGTGACCTTGACAAAGAAACAATTTGCTTACCCAACGCAGCCTACCCAAAGCAAACGCACGTGAAAGCGCAGCGACTGCCAAGCCAGGAGTGTTTCATAAGAGTCCGCTCTCATGTTCCAGCAAGTATTTTCTCCTTGTCTTATTCTGCTTTTTTTTTTTTTTTCCTTTTGAAGAAGTAATATGTACATGGGGTAGGTTTTGGCATCTAGAAAACTCATTATATTGCATTATACATCCTTCCCTAAGATTTTTTTATCTGGAAGCATGATTGTAAACTACTCATAGTTTCACTGGCTTTGTTTTTGCAACATCGTACATGGACTGGTTTCTAGAGAGCGTCAGCTGAACTGTTCAAAGACACAGTTGGTATTACGTCCTTCTGTGTCTGAAGGACAGAATTTGTCGTCTCATGGTTGATGGGAAACTGTAAACAAGAGGAAAGCGAAAAGGCCACAAGGACACTCGAGCTGTGCATCTTCCACTGCCCTGGCTTTGCGGGCAAGAGGGCAAACTTGTCACAAACTTAAAAAAAAAGAAGGTCCAAGAGACTGCTGCTCCAGAGGCACTTAAATACCACTTAATTCCTATCCTGGCAGTTGCTCCCAATAGAATAGTTTCAGAATAAGTGTATTTTTCATTTTTTTTTTTAAATCCTAGGTTTTAGTAGTATTATTTGCTGAAAATCTTTTTTCTTCTCTTTTTTTCCCCTACAAGATCTGTGTGTTTTCTGCAGTAATCTGAAATGTGATAAAAAAAGACCTATAGGGGAAATAGTATTCTCCCAACCAGTTTCTATTCAGGTGTTGTGTGATTATGGTCTATGTGTTATTGTGGGTGAAGATGTGTGTGTGTGTGTCTATATGCATGTGTGTGTATATATAGTCTTTATAGACTCCTGCAGACTCTTGATAGCAATAGAGTTCTCTCGGTTAAACATTTCTTATCTCTACCAAACATGCCTCTAAAGTGGCATCCCACTTGCTGATTACTAAGGAAAGCAAGCATATAAAAAATGACTGCTTGTCTTCTCCCACAGCAGCGGGATGTCGGGGTGGGGAGCCTCTCTGTTTGCAGTTGCTGCTGCCTGGGTCTGATTGCATTTTGACAGCGGACCGTGAAATAAAGGAAAAAGCTAAAAACTCTAAAAATAGCAGGCAGCTGTCTGTTGTAGGGTGGATTGCTCTGTTTGGGTAAAATCCACATGCGGAATGACTGCTGGTCACTTGTGGGAATGAATCTTCCAGGTAGACAGAGTAAAATACTGAATATAGACTTCAGTGTTTGAGGGAGGCCAGTCAAAGGCAAGACCAGGAGCTGGTTCTGCATGAATCTTTGGTTTAGTTTTTTAGTTACCTGGATGGTCTGAAACTATATAGAATTATTTTGACTCATAGTAGCCTGAGCATTAATTACGTCAATCAGTTACTAAATCTTCATTCAACAAAAGTTTTTATCTTAAGACTTTTGAGACCCTAGTATTTGTAAGTCCTACAATATAGGATAATCCATTATTATCTGATAGATTTTTAGGATATTTAAAGCTTCTCATATGGTGCCTGAAACTATTGTCCAACATGATGTGGTATACACAGAACTTCTTCAAAAAGAACAAAAGAATGTGAGGCATTAAATTAAAAAAGGCTGCAGTGATTAATACCTTTGTAAAATACACTGGCCTGGGGCAAAACTGTGAATTGAAATGAATAATTTGAAACCAGCAACATCCTGGAGTTACAGAGCAGATATTAATTAAACATCTCCCCTCTGAGTCTGCTGCGTGCACTGGGCATTTTCCAGGGTTAGTATTTTGGGAACGGTTATGACTACAGGGCAAAAGTTTGGCTCCTGGACACATCTCCTGCCAAGCTGGGTTGGCTTTGGCTTGAACACACAGGATCTCTGTGCCCTGTGGCTTGCTCAGTTGTTAAGGTCTTTTTAAAAGTCAAAGCCATACTCACCTGAGTAACCTTCACCCATATATATCTTTCCATTGGAGTCACCGACTAGCCATAACGTCAGGGTTTTCAGGATAGGATGCTTGTTGTTCTTGTAAACTCTGTCCCAGTCTATCCCAGTTTGAAACAGAAAATGTCAGGACTGTTGCTGTGGATTAGGTGGGTATGTGGATTAGGAGGTAGTGCATGGGGTCCGCCTGGCACTCGTCTCTTAGACACACGCAGGAGAAACGAGTGCTCCCGTTACCGCTCCCAGCCTGAGCTATGACTAAGACTTTGTCCTGGAGGCAGCTACGTTCCTGCTTTCATGGTTATGGGGAAGGAGAACTAGACACAGAATTGTGGCAAGATGACAAATATAAGTACTATTATTTTTTTCTGTGTTTTGACCCATCTTCACAAACTCCAGTTAGCTGCTGTGTATTTTTTAGAGGCTTGTTTAGAACAAAAAGACACGTATGGGTCAGGCTATGTCTGGTGCAGGGAATTCTATAACCTGTGTAGTGATAGTAGGAGAGAAGGGGACGATGAAGGGAGGCTCCTTAGGATTGACTGATGCAGTCTTGCAAAGCAAAGAGGTTTGGTTGAATTTATGTCGATGGGTGCTTGCCAGAAGTCCCAAATCATCAGTGATTTCTCCAGGCTGGGCAGATGCAAATTCCCCTGTAATACCAGCTATGCTCAATGGCTGCCTTTCTTTCTAGGCTTCGCCTCCACGATGGGAAGCTCATTAAGGACAGACGTTACCACCTCCGAACATACCCAAACTGCTTCGTGGCAAAGGAGCTCACAGACTGGCTGATTGACCACAAAGAAGCACCGGACCGAGAGACGGGCATCCGCCTCATGCAGAAGCTGATGGACCATTACATCATTCATCACGGTGTGTGGGTTTCACTGCTACCTGCTGAGCCTCCCCAGGGAGGTGGCTGTCTTTCGGGTCACCACGTGTGTCCGTCAGCCCAGGATATGGAAGCATGGTCAGGTTCATGACCCTCCTATGGGTGAGGGCTCCTGGAGAAGCTGGGAGATGATGGGCAGGCACGAGGCTGTATGGGGTTGGATCTGTGCAAAGCTGCGTTGTTTTGGGGGATGTGGCAGTTCCCTGCCCCACAGAAAAGGGACGTGGGCTGTGCACTGGTAAAACAGTGTCTGAAGTGGCTTTTAATTGAAAGCAAGTTCAGTAATGCCTGACCTATATTGCCCTACAGCAATTGCGTTGGCAGCCGGTGGTGGATGTTTTTACAGAAGCTGGTCTAACTCATGTTTATGTCGTGCAGAAGAGGAAGCTGAATGATAACACATGCTTCACATCTGCAGGAAAGTTCATTTTTTTTACCATAAGAGCCCAGCGTTCCTCAGTTTTCCCCATCCATGCTGGGGTGGGACAAGTAGGGGTGTGGAGTCAACACCACTCAAAGCAAAAAATCAGCTGGTACCTGTAAACCTGGGGCTGAAGCAATCCTGTAGGAATGCCTCCCTTGGGAATTAAGTGTGTGATGCCATTTCAAGGGCTTGCCTGTGGAACCTGTTAAAAGAAAGAAAAAAAAAAAGGGGGGGGGGGGGGGGAAGAAGAGGGGAAAAAAGCAGCTTGGTGCTCAAGCCCAGCTCTTAGTATTCAGGCTTTGCTCTTTTTAAAAATTCTTTGGAACTTCCAACAGTTTTGGATTAACTCAGGTCATGTACTGTGGTCTCTGCCTGTCCCCGAGCTGCAGAGGAATCCCCAAGGTCCAGCCCTTGGTCCCGATATAACAATGGGAAACAAGCGCTTCATGTTAGCGAAGAGCCGTTTCTCTCCATGTGATTTTCAGGCCCAATCAGGAACAAAAGTCCTGGATTTTCAAACAGGCCTGGGAGACCAGGGCCCTCGATGGGAAGGGTTGTGGCTGAGCTGCTGACTCTTGGCTGAGCCCTCTTGCTTCCAAGTCTTTGGGACACGAGCTATGGTGACCTGGAGTTGGTGGTAGTTTGCCACAAGAGGATGAAGCTGAGGAGGCAGAAGCAGATGACAGCCATACCAAACTCAGCCCTCTCTTCCCCCTTCTTCTCTAGGGTCCAGAAATAGCTGCCTTGGACTACTTCAATGCAAACACTCTTTGTTGCCATCTCTACTTGCTGAGGTTAATGCCCTTTGCATTAAGCTACCTTAAATAAAAATAAACTGCCTCTGTGCTTTATCACAAAAGCATAAAGCCGAAACAGTGAGTTCTCAGTAACCATTAATGCTTAAAACTGATTATTTTTCCATCTCTCCAGCTGACAGTTTCAAATAAATCCATTAGTTAATTAAACCTGTGCAGCACTGGGTACCAGTGCTGTTTTGATTGCTTATCGCGGACGGGTCCCTCCTGCTTCTGTGATAATTCCTGGCAGGACGCAGAAGTTGACTTTCCAACTTGCCTTATGACTGTTAATTTTCATTAGTCCTATGGAAACAGGGCTGCCTGCTAACCACAGCGCTGTGCTAAGTGCTTTGCAATTGGCTGTCTAAACTGTTTGCCCTCTTCTCCGCTGGGATCCAGAAGACAATAATTATCTCATGAAGATCCTTGTCTGTGCTGCCTCTTAATGGTCTGATGTGGTTTGAGCTGTTATTCTATTACATGCTGGAAACGCGTTGAAATTGGTCTTCAAATAGCAAAAGTGCTTTGGTTTTCTATGGGCGCAGTCCTGTGAGGTTTTATGTTCAATTCCCAGTTGCAATGATATCCGAATTGTTGCTCCTTGCAGTTGTTAAGATGCAAACTTTCATCTTTTAAAACAACCTTCTTCACTTGCCTTCTTGCTTGATGAGTCACGGGCTTTAGTGTCCTGATTTCACACCAAGACAACTGCGCAGGAGGAATGATGACCTCCAGATAATCTGATAGTTTTTAACACTGAGCTGCTCACCAAAAGGGGAATGAAGTTTTGCCAGTCTGCTCAGAAGAATGAACAAGTGTTAAAATTTTCACAAGAAATGTCTTGCATCTTTTGAATTTCACTCTAGTGGATTGTGTTACTTTAGCGAGGAAATGTTCGTGGGGTTTTTTTTCTCCTTTGACTAATTTGCTTTGTTTTCCAGGCATATTCTTTACTCTGTTTTTTTTACTGCTGAGGTTTCTCCTTCTTGATTCAGATGGGTGGACCTGAAGAAAGGCAGGCTGACTGATTTAAGAGCTGGACTGTGATTTTTTGGGCAAAATTTTTTTTTTTTTTTTTTGACTTCTAGTCTAGGAATCTGTTGCAGGCAATTTTTTCTCAAAGCTGCATCCCAAATATTTGCCTGCTAAATGTTGCGTGCACTTAACAGCCATGCATTTACAGATTGTGTGCTCATCCCCAAGATAAAACAGGCTTTTTATACAGATTTGATTATTCCAGTTACCTGCACCTAGCTTTGAAGAAAAATGTCTCTCCTGAGATCAGTTTGCCATGCAAATGAATTGGGCAGCGTTGGCACAAAATGGTGTGGAAAAGTTAGTGGTGGTATACATTTTAGCTTGCAAGTATTCTTGACAGGGACAGAGGTGATTTTATGGGGTTTTGGATGCAGTGTAGTTTTTTTTTTTTCTTTCCTCCTGTCCTCCAAGTTTACTTACATGTGGCAGTAGCTTTCTAAAAAAAGCTGATTGAGACAATTCTCCTTATTTTCTTTTAGTCTAAACCAAAACATCAACATTTAAATTTAAAAACTAAAAACAAACCAAAAACCCAAAAACCACCACCAACAAAACCCCCCCAAAACTTCCCAGTTTGTTCTAAGGAACATCTTAGTGTCTGGATCAAAATGTAGACTCAAACTCAAGCTTTCCCAAGGTCCGTTCAGTGGAACTGACCTCTCCCACCAGCACGGGCTGCAGGCATTTGTAAGCACCTCATCTGGGGACCGAAGGCTCAGATGCTGGTTGCTGCATGGTATGAGGAGCATAGAGAAGGACATCGCATGCAGCCCCCATAGCTTTTAACCTGGAGATAACACCCTGCTGAGTCTGTGCTCTGTGCAGCTCTGTCTGTCCCTTACGGACTGACAGACGCCTGCAGCACTGACGTTCCTGCTCTGAACTCCTTTCAGTCTGCGACGAGCACTCGGACTACAAGGATGCCAAGCTGCTGTACCGCTTCCGCAAGGATGACGGGACCTTCCCTCTCAGTAAGGACGTGAAGGTCTTCATGAGAGGGCAGAGCCTTTACGAGAAGTACGTGAGTCCTTCCCCTGCAAAATAACTCTCAGCCAGGGGCATTGGGAGTGCGGTCTGCTGGCTGCGCTTGCTGATGATGCTCTACAGCTGGAAGCCACAGCTACAGCCGGCTTTTCCTTCTCTGTACTCTGTGCTATAGTGTTGGGAAATGCTCTTTCCTGAGCCCTGTTGCAGCCACAGGACAACTGATCCCTTTGGGGCTGGGACAGGAGCTGTACTCTGAACTCATGGATGCTTTCAAGGGCTCCAACCCAAGTGCAGGTTCTGGGATCTGGTACAGGGCAGTGCTAGGGTCCAGGCTGCAGTTGGAGCGCTCCTGGGATGGGCATGTCCAGTGGCTGTTCCCAGCACTCCCCCAGCCTCCCTGGGTGAGCTGCTTCCACCAACACTATTAGGACTTGTGTCCCACCAGAATCAGCAGGGTACAGGATCTTCAGGGCCCTCATGGGCCTGGATCCCTGCACCTCGCTTAGCCTATTTGCAAAGTTTGTAATGGAAGAACTAATTCTCAGACAGCAAAGAAAACTCCCTCCACCTCCAAGTGTTTAGTTTTCTTTGTGTGGATTGTTTCTGGTTCTAAATCCAAGCCATCTTCCCAGGCACCTCACGAGTCATTTTGTTAGTCTGGGTTCAACCCCAGACCACCCTCTGGACCCATTCCCTTTAACAGCTTCTTCACATCTTCTCCATCCTCAAACCCTGGCAATCAGATTCACAAACTGGCACTGAGGGAGAAGTCTTCAGCCAGGTGGGCAGTGATTTCGGCTGTCTCCGTGACCCTCTGGCAGATGTGCCTCGCTCGTACTTCGCTTTTGTTTGGCCATGGTGGCCGTGGGACCGGGGAGAGCATCCAGCACATCTCATGGCTGAGCCCGCTGCACCCTCTCGTGGAGGCACTGGATTTAGCTCTCGCATATGCTGCAAACTGAATATGTGTTTACTGAAATGCACCTTCTCCATCAATTTGGACTATGCCGTTTGTTGTGTGCATTCAATTGCTTGCTTGGCTTTCCCCTGCGGTCTTTAGCTGAGGCCGCAGCTGAACTGATTCTGCTGAAGCTGCTTCCTCTGCTGTGATGAAGATTTACAGAGCTGCCTGACTGCAGCTCTGCATTTCTCCGTCCCTTCCCGCTGCTCCCAGACAGCAATGTTTTGGCTGTAACGCTTTGTCCGCTTCTCTTGGCCTTTCTTTGGCTGGCTGCAGCTCCCGCGTGGGACAGCAGGGCTGTACAGCATCACGGGAGCCTTGTCCCACCTCTGTGCCAGGCTGGTGAGCGTGGAAGAGTCAATTCTGAAGGTGAGAGAGGAGAACTCAGTGAAGTACCAGAGGACTTTTCTGGGCTGCGAGATGATTGACTGGCTCGTTCAGGAGGGAGAAGCAGAGAACCGAAAGGAAGCGGTGGAGCTGGGACGGGCGCTGCTGGAGCATGGGATCATTCAGCATGGTGAGTGAAGGCCTGGCTGGAGCTGGGATGGAAAGCAAGAGATGAGCATAGTTGTCAAGGCTGCGCTAGGAACAAATCCCCATTCATGTCATGCAACAAGTGCTGGTCAACTGCCCACTTGGAGATGGCAATAGGGCCTTTTAGTTCTATGTTTGGAGCTGGTGACCTTTGAAATCGGAGCAATCTTCCACCACCCACAAAGGCTTTGAGTTGAAATCTGAGCTATTGCTCTTCAGTTCTTCAAAGCCTCCGGCTGCAGGACTGGGATTCACCCCTGGGTTTGGAGGGCCGGGTTGTGAGGATGTAATGCTCAGCTCTGCTTGGCTGGAGATCATAACCATCTGCAGGGATTAAACTTTCAATTCAGAAGGCAGGGAATCCTCTGAGCGTCTTAGGACAGCAGCAGGTGGAGGGCTGTGACTCGGTGGTGCATCCCTGTGAGATGGCATCTGCTGGGGAGGTGGTCCTGCTGTTTCTCCTTCCCTGCAGGTAGCATTTTCAAACAGTCAGAAAAACTGCAGTAGAACACAGAGGCATTAAAAGCAATTCATCTGGGTCCCTCGGTATATTTGCTATATATTTTTTGCACCCCCTCAGCCTCTCCCTCCTCCCTTGTTCTCTCCTAGTCTCCAATAGGCATCACTTCTTTGACAGTGACATCCTCTACCAATTCTGGATCAACTTTCGACGGAGGCGTCGTCTCACAGAGTTACTCAACGAGAACTCTTCTCGCGCCCTCTCTGAGAGCCCAGACAGCCCCTTCTGTCTTCGCAAGCTCAACCCGGACCCTGGCAACACCAGCTTTCTCTCTGGTAACTGGATGCGTTTGTGGAAGGGTCTGAAAGCAAGCATTATTTTACTAAAGTATCCCAGAGCTGAAGGTGTTGCTCCAGCAGAGCGTAGGGTGTTCTTCCAGGCATCCCATGAAGTGGCCACCCATGCCACTGGTTTGGGGTGGATGTCACGATGCAGTGGCAGTCTCTATCACAGCTCCCCGTCCCAGGAAAATAACTCAACTCACCATCAACTCAGCTCTTAATCTTCGAAGCTAGTTTTAGTCTTTCTAAGCAAAAATGCCATCTTCAGTGCATGCTTACCTTTCAGATGCGGGTCAGGCTGGTGGGGCAAGTTTGTTATTTTAAACTGGTCTGTTCCTTCCTTTGAGTAACTGTGATTTCTGCCTCTTTCAGTCCAGACCAACAAGGAGATCAAAATTGTCTCAGCAGTTCGAAGGAGCAGCATCACTTCCCTTGCTGGAAACTCCAACCCCTATTTCAGCACTACTCCTACGTTGGTATTCCCTCCTGTGGCTGAGTGCAACCCCAAATCAGGTCTGGGCTTCTGCATTGCCCTGTCGTTGCACAGGAGACATCTGTTCCTTCAGGGCATGGGCTAGCTCAGGCCTCGGGTCCAAACACATCCACTGTCAGCTTGGTGACTTGCAGGAGGAGAGGGTCAGCCTCACCTCTGAGTCTTGATTTGAGAAGTTGTGCAAGTGATTTGAAAAACATTGAGATGAATGCAAAGACTTCTGTGTACAGTAACTATGACTGGTTCTAACATCTTGTATCAGGAATAGTGTGGCCAGCAGGACCGGGGCAGTGATCATCCCCCTGTGCTGGGCACTGGTGAGGCCGCCCCTCAAGTGCTGTGCTCAGCGCTGGGCCCCTCACCCCACGAAGGCCACGGAGGGGCTGGAGCGTGGCCAGAGCAGGGCAGCGAGGCTGGGGCAGGGGCTGGAGCCCAAGGCTGGGGAGGAGCGGCTGGGGGAGCTGGGGGGGCTCAGCCTGGAGAAGAGGAGGCTGAGGGGAGCCCTCATCGCTCTCTGCAACTGCCTGAAAGGAGGCTGGAGCCGGGGGGGTCGGTCTCTTCTCCCCAGGAACAAGCGATGGGACGAGAGGGAACAGCCTCAAGCTGCGCCAGGGCAGGTTTGGGTTGGGTATTGGGAAAAGCTTCTTCCCCCAAAGGGCTGTCAGGCCCTGGCCCAGGCTGCCCAGGGCAGGGGCTGAGTCCCCATCCCTGGGGGGATTTAAAAGCTGTGTAGATGTGGTGCTTGGGGACATGGCTTAGTGGTGGGCTTGGCAGTGCTGGGTTAACAGTTGGACTTGGTGATCTTAAAGGTCTTTTCCAACCTAAACGATTCTATGATTATGATTCTGTGATCTGTTCTCCAGCCCGTGGTAATCCCCAGGCTTCCTTGTTAGAGGTTTCACTGTATGAAACCATTGATTCTGACAGGATCTGTCACCTTCTGCTCTAGTGTTAAAGAGACCCGTCACCAATGAAGAGCTCCTGTCCCCTGGGGCCCCCTACATCAAGAAAACACTAACTGTAAGTGACCATAGCGAATGGTGTTGCTAACCCAACAGTATTGAGCTCTCTGACTGCTCTTTGATAGCTGTCTGCTGCTCTGACCTCTGTATGTTGAAACTTTGATTGCATCTCACATCATCATGGCTCTTTCTTGGTGAGTCTCAGTGGGTCAATGCCTGCAGATATTCTTGTGGGTGGAAATGTGTGCAGCCTCTGCTTTAGTTTAACGCATATTAAAAGGGTAGATCAGGAAAGAGAATGTTTCCTGGACAGAAAAACGCCGGCTTATGTTTCATCCAGCTCCATACAAACTATAGAATCAGTCAAGTCTTGTGACAGTTGAGACTCTGACACCCATCCTCTGTCACACAGATATCACCTTTATGCACAGCTTTATGCATCTTTCGGGTTCCTGCTGCAGATCAGGTGTGTTGATATGATCCATCAGCATCTGACGGAGCAGCACTAAAGGGGGAGCATCCGAGGGTCGCTCTTGCCTTTCTTATGATGAGCTTTTTTCACGGACAAAATAAACACCCTGCAAAATCTCCAGGATGCTGCAGGCAACCTGAGTTTTGGGGTTTTGCTTTTCTAGTTATTTCTAAAGCTGTAGGACCAGTCAAGGCACGGCTGGAGAGTGCTGGGTGTGAATGTTGCAAGACAGTTCCTGCCCTGCGGATCCTATCGTGCTTGTTTATTTTTGTGTAAAACTTCTCAGCCCTTTCCTGCCTGCCTTTGAAAGGGGGAATCTCACAGTGGCCAGTTTAGGAAGCGTGAGGGCTGTCTTGCCATACTGGTTTGACACAAGTGGGGTTACAGAGAAGCTGTCGATCAGGTTCCCAAATTAACTGTGCTGTAGAAATTGTTGGGAAGGAGCAAGAAAAATAAAGCTGGTGATTAGTGTGGCATGTATGAGGACGTGCCATTCCCCTGAATGCTCTTGCCCTGCCCTTCAACCCTGCCAGCCTGGGCATTTCATGGCTTATTTCCTTCTGCTTAGCTGTGCAGTTGCTCTTATTTATTTATATGGATAATGTGCAAAGTCCTTTGGAAATTCCTTTTCTCTTTTAGTCACATCAGATGGCCACAGTATTACAGCAAACTGCTCTGACAGACTGAGATCAGAGTGGGTAAAAATTAAGGGTGGCTACTTCCACCCTGGAAATGCTCTCCTGTGCCAAGGAAAAGGCACCCCATGCGTGCTCTGGAAATGTTCTCCACGTGCTCTTGGTGCATGCCTTGCGCTTCAGCTTCGTGCTGCCTGTGCTTCACTCTTCTGCACTGGCTGGCAGGGAATATTAATTGGAAAGCAGCTTTGCAGAGAGCAGTTAATCTGTGGTTCTGCGTCTCAGTTGGTGCACAGCCCTTTCTCGCCCACCCATGACTGTTTAGGATCATGAGCAGAGCTCTCCATTTCACTAGGAACTGTTGTATCTCCTCTATCCAGCCCTCTCCTTGGTTTTTAAAACCCTTTTGTTTTGCTTGTAGATTGTGGGGGATGCGGTGGGCTGGGGGTTCGTGGTTCGAGGAGGAAGACCTTGCCACATCCAGGCAGTGGACCCAGGAGGACCCGCTGCTGCTGCAGGGATGAAGGTATTTCTTACTCATGGTAACTTAATAGGAGGCAGGACTTATGTCCTCTTTGAGCTTTTCAGGCTGAACACATCCTCCGTGATAATCCCTGCAGTGGAGATCAGTCGGATGGAGTCGGCACGTGGAGCTCCAGCAGTGCTGTGAGCGGCGGAGGGAAGGATGCTCTCCGCAGGCAAAGCGCACCGCGTGTGGCTGCACGGCGGCGGATTTGCCTTTTGCCAGGGCAGCACCGGGGCTGTGGGCAGCTAAAACTGGAAAACTCTGTCAAAACTAAGCTGTCCCTGTGGTAGACTTTGGAGCTGTTGAAACTGTTGGAGCTGCTAAAAACAAAGCAGTGAATTCCCAGTTCAGCTCTGGTAACTGTATATAACCCCAGTGAAGCAGGGAAGGAGCAGAGCTGTATCCTGAATCACCTGCTCTCACAGCTCCTGAGATGTAACGCATTTTGCGTTTCTCTGCTATTAACAACGTAGTTCCACGTGGAACTATTTTCCATATACATGAAAGCTTAATAACCTTAGACTGATGCCCTGATTTGATTCATCAAGTAACTTTCAGTATTTCCAGCTCAGGTGAAATGAACTGAGGTCTTGAAACTCATTTTAGACCCAGGCATGTATGGGTTTTGTGTGTAGAGTTTTAGGCATGAATGAAAGAAATGTTGAGTTTCACCGTTCCCTATAAAAACCCCAGCAACGAGGGATTAATTTCTACAAGCTGATATGAGTCTAAAGTCACATGGATATTTGATATAATGGGATTCTTCAGAGGCAGAGTGTGACTCCTTGTTTGCTTCAGGCAGGATTGGAAGGATTGAATTTGTTTCGTTTACTCAAGAGCCCAGTTAATTTCTCCTTCCCTAATCTCATTTGCTACCAAATTTCTAGGTGTTAATGGTGTGCCTCATTTCCATCTGTGAAATGAACCACTGCTCATAAATGAGTCTTTTTCTCTCTGTTAGCTCACAGTCTAAATCTCTTTGGTCCCTTTTTTATGATATTGTGATCGTAGCATAGTGGTTATTAGTGTAACTTATGGAGTGGTAATGCCTTAGGGTTTGCAGGATCTTGTGCAAGTTGTTTGCATTGCAGCTTCTGGCTCTAGTCAGTCATAGGCAGAAGTTGCCATGAAGGCATTGGCTGGAGGTAACTTGCCCTTCTCTCCTTGCAGGTGTGCCAGTTTGTTTTCTCAGTGAATGGTATGTACGTTTTGCATCTGGACTATCAGACCATCAGCAGCCTCATCATGACAGGACCACGAACTCTCGTGATGGAAGTCATGGAAGCCATTGAATGAGTGAAGGAGTCTCATCCCACCGCTGTTTGGAAAGGCAGGACACTCCACTAAGCAAGGATGGACTGTGGAGAGGGACCAAGCTTGACCATTCACTGTGAAATGTTAGTCAGTCATTTTAATTATATTTTCAAATAAATACATTCTAATGGACAAGTCTCGGATTTTGATGTTGAAATATTTGGCTCTACCTGTTCTTGAGAGGGTCTAAGCTCTTGCAGGTCCTTTTTAATGCCAGTGGGAGAGTTCAGCACATCACAAAATCAAGCCTTAGGACAAGCCATTCACCCAGCCAAGCTGCAAGGCAGGTGGTACAAGCTGGTAAGCAGCAAGACGTTTGATGCCAAGCAAGTGAGTACGTCTGAGCTCCCCTGAGTTGTCTGTGCAGTCTACCGAGAACACAATGTGCTTTCCAGATGGCCCGATAAGCTGTGCCATCAACTCTGTCAAGAAAATAAGGAAATGAATACAGCGATGTATGCTTCCTTGTACAGAAAGTCTAAGGCTCCTGCTACTCTCTTGGCTTAGCTACGCTCAAAGTCAGGACTGGTTGCTCTTTCCAGCTGTTTCTTGAACAGGTGAGACTTCCATGATTGTGCTTTTTAAGCATTATTAGGGGGTGGGGGCACAAATTCATTAACCAGCTTCACCTTGGCATGGAGCCAGGCAGAGGTCCCAAACATCACAGGCTGCTACCAACCTAGTGACGGGAGGCAGTGGGGGAAAGGAGAGACCCTAAACAGCACCTGTCCCCAAGGGAATGTGTCATAGTCGAAGGTTGACTCTGGAAGGGAACAGAAATGAGTTAAAGCCACCAAAATCCAGCCCCCCCAGGCCCTGTTGCTCCCAGGATGACTGCATTTGCAGGCGATGCAGAAAATATTCACATGCAGATTACCCTGGAAGTGAACTAAATACAGAATAACAGGTAATAACAAGAAACCGGGGAGGTTGCTTGCTTTCCAGTTCGCAGAGCATCCTGCTTGTGATCAGCCTGCAATGCTGTGGGTACAGCAGGATAATTTCCAGCACTCTTGCTTAGGGCAGGTCCCTCAGTGCAGCTCTTTTGGCCACCAACCAAGTCTTAAAAAAAAAAACCAAACCAACCAACCAAACAAAAAAACCCAAAAAAAAACCAAACCAAAAGAAATAGTCATTTTGATTTGTGTTAAAGTAGGAGCTGACTTTCTTGGAAAATCCAGTGTCAGCTGTATATTAGGTATTGTATTACTTCTGGCTGCCTTTTTTTCCTTGGTATAAAGGGATATGTGCTCCCCCAGCGCTGGTGCGGAGGTAACAGGACTACTTGGAGCACAGCGTTCCTGGAACATGGTCCAAGCGAGATGTTTGCGTTGATAATCCACTGGGGTCCTTCCAGCCCCTAAGTGAAACCAGACAATCTATTAAGCCATTTGTCAATGTACTCACAGTTGTTACTTCCAGCCATTCAGCGCACAAGCAAAGCAGCATCCATCTGCCTTCTTGCTTTTTAAATTCTGGTTTGTGTTGCTGGTCAGGGAGGGCTTGGGTGTCTGAGGTGGCCCCGAGTTTTAATCCAGAGTGCTGGGCTTGAACTACAATCAAAGCCAGGAGACCACAGCGTTTTGTGGGCACCTCGGGAAAGGCAGGCCAGAAAGCAAGAGCCCGAGCACAAGCATGGGAAGCAGCTCCAGATTCTTCTGACACAAGCAGAGCACAAATTTTAGCTCTGGATCTGATTCCCTGAAAGTGAAGTGCGGGTCTGTGGTCTTTCCTTTCTCGCCTCCTCCTAGTTTTAAAGGAAACTGTGGCAAAGCTGAGCAACTACTGAAATCCAGTAGAAATTACAGAGGAGGTAATTTGTGGTATTTATGGGTAGGGCAGTGACAGCTCTCTCTCCCCAGGCTACCAAATGCTCCATGTTTTCTCTTAACAAGATTGAAGTGATTCCTTTTGGTGTTATCCTTTGGCCTGTATATTGTGATGCTTTTAAATACTTACTAGATTATAAAGCAAAACAACAATGAACTTCCAAATGTTTCTTTAGTGTGCACAAATACTTTACAACTCCTTTTTTTTTTTTCCCTACCTGAGCTGACACTTTCCAAGGTGCCTGTGTTTCCTATAGAACGGCCATTGAGAGTTTCTTGCAGCTCGCTCTGTTGCAATGAGAGACTGATGCCGACAGTCCCCCGAGATGCAGCTGAAAATCTGGCCTCTGTTTGTAATGAGAAATGCCACTGTCAGTTGTTCCATTCCTGGCAACGAGGACAAAATCTTGCCAAAAAAGTTTTGGTGCGGAGCTGGGCAGCTCTCCCAGGCACGGTGGGGGCTGGGGACCCCATGCTGGTGGAGGTCAGGGCTGTATCCCACAGCTGGGAAGCCTGCAGCACCATCGAGCTCCAGTTCATGATTCAGCCTCTGGCCTTGCAAAACTTACAGATGTGCTTAATTTCCTTAAACAAATGCAATGCAATTTGCCTTCAGTGCAAACGCTGGGCTCTCAAAAATATTTAATGGGATGTGAATGGGATGCGAATGACTTCATCCCTGGGAGTCTGACAGTGGGCGGGAGCCACGACTTGTTGCTGCGCTCTAGGAAATCAGTGTGCAGCTTCCTAGACATATATTTAGTATTTAGTTAGCAAAACCACTAAAAGCTGTTTACTGTTTTTCATAGAAGCAGTCTCTCGCTTTTCGTGCAGGCTTTATTTAGCTGCACGTAGGGGCCAAGCAGTGCTCTCTGCTGCGTGGCGAGGGGGAGGTGGGGGAATCGCTGTCCTTCTCCCCCTGCTCTCCCTCCCCTTCCTTATTCCTCCTGACGTCTGGGACTTGAAATCTCTAATCACGCCGAGGAGCAGATGAGGCGCCAGGGCTGCTTCTCCCACAATTTAAGAATGTAGCTGGATTCGTCGCGCCTCCCGGCTGACTCCAGGGAAAGCTGCGTCGCTCCACAGAGGTCTGTGGCTCATTCCCCTTTGGGGCTCAGATCGCAGGGATGCCAAGGAGGGGCTGTGTCGTTTTGTGGCGTGTGTGGGTATCGGCAGAGCAGGGAACTTCTGCAGGGTTTTGGTGTCTGGGAAACTTGGAGCTGGTGCAGCTCAGCTCAGGGCAGCGCTGCCGATGCTGCACAGCGGTGGCAGGTCTCATCCTCTTCTGGTGAAGTAGCTTCAAGACTTGCATTCACTGCAGGTTTGGTCTAAATATAGTGCCAGGACTGCTTTAGCAATTCTTTTGGAGTGATGGCTGTGAGAAATGCGCTTGGTTTGTTTTTTTTTTTTTTTCCTTCTATTTTGTGGTTAATAGTATAAAACCCGCAGGAAATTGCTGCCAGAGAGGACAGCACTTGGAAGGGTTTGTTAGCAATAGCAGTTGCCTGGGTGGGTTTTTCCCATCTGGAGGTGTGGTGTGGGTCTGCATCAAGCTGATGTTACTAAGCCTGCCTGGGCTGTGGGGAGCTGCAAAGGCTCAGCCTAGAAGTGAAACTTGTGCCTGACTTTTTTGAGACTGGCGCTGGGATAATTGAGGATTTTTGTTCAATAGTGGAACTGAAATACAGGAGATTTCCATGACAAAACAGAAAAGGGTTGATGAATGTGGGTTTTTTAATCTGCTCCTTTAATTAGCAAAGCACTTGGGGAGCGTGGGACAGATTTGCTCCCTGCAGCTGGCTGCCTCGGGCAGGTTGCGGGTCTCTGCTGCAGGGCTGTCCCTGGCGCTGTCCGTGTGTCCGGCAGTGAGCGGGCCATGAGGGGACACTGCTGCTGCCAGCGCTGCTGTGCAGAGGCGGCGATGCCCTCGGGGATGAGGAATGATGGAAATGTCCCCAGACTGCACCTGTGGAGGGTGGAAATAATTCACAGTGCCCCCCGATCCCCACTTTTAGTTGTGCTGATTTAAACATGTGGCAGGGATTTTTTGCATAGAAATTTTTTTCTTTAATTAAGGCAAATACTTTTAAAATTTCCTGTACAAATAAGGGGATCTCTGACTGTCTTAACCTCCAAATCCCCTCTGAGCACACAGCTGGGGCAAGCGGGAAGTGCTGTGTCCCCCCCACGTCCATTTTCCAGGCCCTGGAAATGCCACATGCTCCATGTGTTGCTGTCTTCAAATTCCTTCCCTGGGTGAGCAACGGGAGAGCGGCATCGGCGTGCGGAGGCAGGCTGATGTCACTGCGGTCCCCTCGGTCCCAGGGTCTGCAGCTCAGCCTGGCTGGATGGTGGCACCAGTCAGGGCAAAATTGGATGGGAAGGGACCATGGAGACCCGGTGGGGGCTTGGGGAGCCGCAGGTAACCTGCGGAGAGGGAGCTCTGCAGGGCGGGGAAGAGAGAGCTCCTCCAGCCGTGTGTCTTCCACCATCTCAAACAGGAGCATTTGTTATTCCTGCTTTGCAGGTAGGAAAACGAATGTTGGCAAAGAGGCAAAATAGCGGTGGGTTTGCCTCTGAGCTAGGAAGAAGAGATGAAGTCCCTGCTCCTTGCTTTAGTCCCAGTAAAGTGCCACACCCTGGGGACTTACTGGATCCAGCCTGGGTTAATATTGAACTCATCCTTACTGGCACATCAGGGTAGAAGCTCCTGGCTGAATCGCACACCGCAGTAAGCCCAGTTCAGGGCAGGCTGGAGAAGCCCCTGTGCTTATTTCACTGGACTGCAGATCCCGTACAACTCTGGTTAACATGAAAAGACCATACACAGTCAAGTGCTTTTGCCAGAGTTTGGCATCCCGTTTGCCAGCAGAGCCACAAGGAAGCTGCAAGGAAATCAGGAGCGGCTTGGTGGCATTGCAAAATGGCACAAATGACCTTTTGATTCAGGGAATTTGTCAAAAATTCAGGCTTCTTGCTGCTGTTTGGCACATGTACCTCTGCAGCCAGGGCAGACTTTGCTCTGCTTGAGATGACAGATTCCTGAAACCCACTTTTAAAATGTTTGCTGTTTTTTATAAGCAATGACTTCATTTTATTAGCTGGAAAAAAAAAAAAAAACAACAAACAAGTGTTTCCCATGGCTAAGGGCTTCAGTTACACTGCAGTTGTTCTGTATAACCTGATCTTCAATCAAAAAAAAAAAAAAAAATCACAGACTGAGTAGA